ATAACAATGAAGTCTTTACTCTTGGTGATACAACTCATATGATACTCCTTCAAGAGCTGCTCTATCCAGCTTTGTCCGTTCTGACCTCTTCAATGGGTGATCATACGATCTATGTAATCAGGTCACTAAAGAATTTATGTATTTAGACTCTTGATTTTCGAATTTTAAAAAATCTATCTTCATGGGTGGACGAGCAACCATTCAGCTTCACTGGTAACCGAAAATATGTCCCAGGTTTAGTGCACATCTCACAAAAAGACAAGACACATCATGATCATTGTTTGATCAACAAACAGAGACATTTATGTAGATAACTCATTCTTCTTGGAAGGTTGATACTGAGATCTTGAGATCATGTTTACTTTGAGTTAGAATCGAATTCAAATCCTGTTTTTCAGAAATCAAGGAACCAGTATGTATGTAGAACGTGAGCGCTGATGAGGTCTTCTCATGTGTAATGATCACATCATGAGTTATGGAGTCAAACATAGTCTTCAACAGGTGTTGTCTCTCTGTTGGTATGGTTTTGATGTATAGGTCGAGATGACTTTCCTAACTGATTATAAGTTGATAATCAAGTTGGTTCTAGTGCAAGGTGATATGTTTCAAAAGTTTAAGATCGTGATAGCCACTTGTTCAAGAATGAAGTGATGTGTTTTATGTTTTTCTTTGGGAAGGATGAGATAAGTTGATGAATGCTTAGTTTGTTTTAATTGTGAAATGCTGTTGAAGATAGAATGATGATGAGAGTTTTGTAAAAATTGAAAACTACAACTAATCCATCTTGAGCTTAGATAAATACACTTTGACCTCCTCCACGTCGACCATTGATACTTATTGTTAACTTCATTCAAACTCAGTCTAAATCAGCAGAATACCAATCACTCAATCATAACACACATCATCACACTATTCAATCAGCCTTGGAAGCTCGATCGTCAATTCATGGTGCTGAAAATCGTACATCTTACAAGATTCCCGATGGTCTGATCGGCACGAAGAGAACGAAACCGGCATTTCCGCGTAGACCTTGGAGTTGGAGAGACGAAATGATGTCAACTGCTTGACTCAACACAAAACCATCGCTTTCATTGTTTCTGCACTCGAGACCTTCACAAGGAAGAAAAGAAGAAAAGAACGACGAACAAGTCACCAGATCAACCGCTCATCACACCGAGCGAGCGTTGATGACCAATCAATATCGTATCTTGAATTGTTGTGATTTGCCTCCCATCCGACAACCTACCGATATGACGAACGAGACACCGATTCAGATTTGTGAGTATGAGCATCTCCAAATTCCGAGATTTTTGCTGAAAGATGATTTCACAATCCTTCGAATGCTCACGCCCATCCAAACATAGAGACTTCGTTAAGTTTTGAATGTAGGACAATTCTATCTTGGAACCCTGCCGTGCCGCTCTTGCGTGGCTTCGAACGACTCGGATCAAACATTTTGGTTGCTCTGCCGTATTTTCAGGCGTGTTATCATCCACATCTCTTCTCATGTTGCTGACATAAGTCACAAGGAAAATTTGGTAGACTGATAATGATTCTTGACATCCACTGATGTGCGGATGTCCTGGATATGTATCGCGCTTGACTACGCAAGGATTGAACCGCCTAGGGAAGACATTTAGCAGGGGCACGACCTTGAAGAAGTCGGTTTCAGGTGTGCGTTGGAGGGAAATCATTGATGCTCTTGTTTTCTGAGGTTGCTCTTGTACATTCATTTCATGATGTACTTCATGACATTTTTGGAAGCAAGGAATTCTGCCGAAATCACAACACTCAGATACTACAAGTCTGAGTTTCAAGTTAACCTGTATTTAGCGCTCACAAATTTCCCCAACTCTGAGTGAGTTTTCATCCTCAGCCGGTCTTGACTTACAAATAGCTGAATATGTAGATTGACAACAGCTTGGAGTCAATAGAAACTGAATGATCATCACAACATAATGACAAAATGTATCTCAAAGCCTTACAATTTGTCATAGATCACTTTACATTTTTTGAAAAATGAATCAAAACATGAAATGAAAGATCTAATCACAATTGCTTGAATACAAATTAACTCACTATCATAGATTTTAGACATACCAAAGAATTCTGACGAGAAATTTATAAAGTACAACAGCTATAAATAGCAAAAAATCACAATCTATTGATTGATGAAAAAAGATATCAATAAAATAATTTACAAATGAAAGTAACGCAAATCAAGACGAATCAAATTCCAATCATGCAAAACTTAACACTCTCACTTCATCCGCCACAGCTTGCCCAGCTCCACCTTCTTCAGTACCGCACGTTCCGGCTCTCAACACACCTACAATCTTTTCTGTATCAAATCCAACCCACTCAACCACCTTATTAGTCTCTTCACAATCATCCACAGCAAGTCCAACCTGAACAGGTCCACTTATTCGTCCTTCAGCTAATTCCCACACATTTAACCCGTCTTGTCCAGCACTCACACATCGACCAGATGAATTAAGTGCGACAGCTGCAACCCGACTTGTATGTCCAAACAACGTTCGACGATGAAGAAGTTCAGGTATCTCAGATGATTGACGTCGATACTCAAAAGTATCAAGTGTATTATCTGTTCTTGCAACCACTACTGTTGGTTCTGCATATTCAATCCCACTTACAGGTCCCACTCCTGGCATCGGACGAAAGGAATGTCGAGAGAATGTGGTACTTTCGAAAGGAAGTGCAGTAGTATGATGAGTTTTGATAAGTCTGGGGATAGGAGAAAGTTCAAATTCGAATTCTTGTAATCCGACTGTCCAAGCTGATGGATAGAATGGCGTAGGATAGACAATCGTTAATCGGAATCCCGTTTCGAGAGCAGTAAGATTAAGGGTAAGCGGCCAAAAACATGTTTGACTTCGCATATCCAATTTAAGCTTGCGTGCGGCGAGTGCGCTGTGTCCTATAGAACTTAACTCATAAAAACGTAAAAGAAAGTCGGTCGAGCAGGTGACTAGCAGTGGGTAATGAAGGCGTGCTACCTCTGCAGCTTGATGATGAATCCCATCTGGACCGGAACGGATGAGAACTTCAGATGAAGCATAGAGTTCGGTCACATCCAGTTCTGATGCTGATTCTGAGCTTGAGGGTAGACCGATCTGGAAGATAGCAAATTGACCAGTAGTATAGAAGACCACAAGAATAACTGAGTTTTGATTTGAAAATGGTAGTTGTTCCAATCCCGATTCGGTATCACATCTTTCATCGACTCTGATTTCAGAGATCCCTACCATACCCAGGTTTCGAGAAATCAAGGGAAGGAGATGTGATATGACCTATAGGCTCAGACTTGACTCCATCTTGTTTCTGACCTTTCTTAAGTTGATAAACATCTACAATTGGCGGACTACTAGTAGATTTACTTCGTGAAGCAGTGAAAAGAAGTGTCCGATGAAACCGAGCGATTGTACTAGGGTAACGTGTCTTGGGTGTTGAATCTTGAGGGTGTGGAAACGAGTCTGGTAGTAGAATGAGCTGATCCAGTTTGCCAGTTAAGACTGATTCGACAAAGGTTTTTCCATGTGTGTCCGAGATGAGTTTGTTCTGATTACAGCTTGTTGTCGACCTTTTCCTTTCCTATCAGGAATTCCGCCAAAAGGACTGAGTGATCGGAAATTTGATCGAGTTCGTTGTTCTATAGCAGGAAGGAAGGGATACTTCAATCCATGCTCTCCCCATCGAAGGTGAAACATTGTTTTCCAGAGCTGTGATGATAGTGTGTTGTCTCTTTTGGTCAATATACTATCGAGTTTGTTCCGATTTCGCTTATAGAAATTTGAATCCGTTTAAAGTGAAGGGGATCAAATGAGAGCATAGGTAATGCGACAGACCTTTGGGTCCTCTGATAGTCTGTTTAATCGATTCGAGACTCTTGCCATGATCGAAAGCTCATGAAAGTTGAGATAAGATAAAATCTCCAGTAAGATCTCTTCACTCAAACGATCCATTAAGTTGGCAGACGAGTATGAACATTTCTCCGATATGAATTTGTTCATAGTCGATGACTCGGCTGAGTATGGATGGACAAAAAAATTAAAGTAATCGATATTAACAAATGCAGAGGACGAAGAGAATCATGTGTCTCGCAGTCTCCAGACCACCACAAGAGCCGAATGTGTTGGCTGCAAGAGCTCCGAGCCCGGGTAACAGCTCGGACTGCGGAGTGGAGCAGAGGCTTTAGAAGATCAAACGCACACCGGCTTTTTGAAGTCAATCATGTTTTAAGAAGTCTCAACTGGAAATGCTGCTCGTTGACTATCCAAACATGCGTGATCATCTCCATGTTCGCGACGACTTACCTCACTCCACACACTCACCAAGGTAGAGCTTGACGTGAATGTGGTATGAGTCAGACGAGGTGAATGTGGTATGAGTCAGACGATGTACTCAATGTACCCTATTCCTTTCACGGCTCAGGTGTGGATGGTCATAGACTCAGTCTCTAAGCACAATTAAACTAATCCCCATCTGATAGCTTTCCAAGAATACGAAGACAACTTCAGAAAATTCTCGAAGGATTGCGCATATTTTCACCTTTTGTATGACTCGATCACTTCGATCACCTCTCATAAAAATCAAGATAGAATTTATTTCTTCAACTATTGAACAAAACAAAACAAAACAAGTCTTTATGAGCAATCAAAGAGGGCGAAGAAGTCCAAAACACATTTCACTCCCCTTCAAAAAAATTATACATATACCATCTTGGAAATTCAATTCGAAATTTTCTGTCAAAATTGCATTAAGCAACACCATCTACGCACCTCAAAATGAGAACTTTTCTCTTCTCTGAAGCCTCATACATCTACATGTAAGATTTCAATCACTAATATAACCATAGATCACTACAAAAACCTCTTGGATCCAGCTTTCAAAACTAATCATTATCAAGGAACTCTTGAGCAACAATTAAAAAACATCGCGGTGACGTATGAGTGGCTGCCAGACTCTTGCCCCGAAAAACACGACAGCAGTGAGGTTTGAACTCACGCTCACATAGTGAAACAGCTGATGTAGTCCAATCATGTTGGTCATTCAAAACTGTCGCCTTAACCACTCGGCCATGCTGTCTACGAGCGTCGTTCGCTTTGCTTCTATAGTGACAATGCATATTACAAGGTATCGATACAGGTGCTCTATATGTAATTTTTGCTTGAGTGAGATCTTGGCCTATGAGCATGAAATGAATCTGATTGTGGGCTCAACTGATAGGTTTCATGTAGAGTTACACTGACTGAAACATGGGGTTGATGCTGAAACTCAAATATCAAGTAGGAAGTCTGAAATTTTATCAATCACATTGAATTTGGTTTGTTGACAAGGATAAATATAAGTAGTAAGGAAGAATATGATTCTGAATACCATCTTTGTGATAATTGAGGGAGGAAAGCTATCAGAGGCACTTAGGCACTCACTTGTATGAATTCACTCGTTCAATACAAAGGCCAGGCATCAAGTTACAAGTGTTTTGGAGAACTTGTTGTTAAGTGCCCAGAAACCTTCATGAAGGAAAGCGCTGAATCATATCCTATACACCAGAGACAGCTATCCCAGAATAAATTTAGTGTGATGAGTGAATAGATAGGAAGTGAAGGTTACAAAACCGGATCAGACGAGGAAATGAAGGACCGCATACATACCACTATTGCTCCGGTCCGTATGCGGTATGAAGGCTCAAGCTGAAAGCCCGTTGGCGTCCACCGAGCTACTGATCCAGTCTCCAGAGTCTAGGCTCCGACCATTTCTCACATTCTTTGCCGCTCAACGTTCAGCTTTAGATAGGCAACCCCAGGGATCAATCATCAAATTCTCTCAAATCAACCTCGAACAGTTTCTATCATGTCAAATCCAGTCGCTGGTCCATCAATCCCTTCTCAGAAAATGACTTCATTGGACAATAAACCTAACAACTGACCAATCGGACGAATCAGATGATGATTTTATGCCTGAACTTCCACCCGGCTTCAAGGCTTCGGATAAACCAAGTGGGCCAATAGGACCTAGTCTACCACCTGGGTTCGATAGGTCATCTGAAAAGACCAAACATGATGAAGATAGCGATGAAGATCACGGGTTTACAGGTCCTATGCCATTACCATCATATCTTGTTCAAAATAATGACGAAACAGAAGGAGTTCGTGCACTTCGAGAACGTGAAGAGAGGCAAGCTGAAAAGGATCGTTTGGAAAGAGAAAGCAAGGTTTTGAAACGTGAAGAATGGATGCTTGTTCCTCCTAAGGAGTTGGACCTTCCAGCTTGTCAGTTCATCATTATCATTATCAGTGTATCAGTGTCTACGTGTCATCAGAATTACAACAAAAGTAACGTTCAGATTGACAGACTGTCTGATTTGTTTGATACCTTTGAAATATCGAGTATATCTCATCAACTTTCAGCCATCGATCCCACAAAAATCAAATCTCGAGGGTTCAAGCAAACTTCTAAACCACATTCGGGTACAGTTGAACGACAAGGTGGCACCGGATCTTTATGGACGGAAACACCTGCTGAACGGGCACAACGGTTAGAGGATGAAGCCATGGGAAAACGTAGAAGGGCAGAAGATGTAGCTAAAGGTATGGATGATGATGAGGATGGTAATCTGGATTCACTCAAACGTAGAAAACGTGATCAAGAAATGAGGAAACAAGTTGAAGAACATAATGTAAGCCATCTATCTTGTTCTTTTGAATTTCAAGCTGATCTTTGGTTTGGATGTGGATTAAAAATAGAAATTTATCAGATCTTCATCCTTATTAGATTTACATAAAAAAGCTTCATCTAACATTTCGAAGTCAAAATCAAAAGCCGAAAAAGAGAAAGATAAAAAAGAAGCTGTAGTATGGGATCATGATTCGATGATGGGTTTAGGTGGAAAATTGATGGGTGAGAAACAAAAAGCTGATATGATTAGAGATGCTAAAGGACTCGGTGGTAGATTTGGTGGGGGTAGTTTTTTGTAAAACTGATTTCCGTCTCCTTACCATCTTGTAATATTTGAATGCTGTTATGACTATGCAGTTGCCTCTCATTTCACACTAGTTTGTGAATGTTGCTTCTTTTAAATCACTGACCCTTTTTGTCAATATCCCTCTGAACCCTTCAACGTGTCCTTTAAATGTTAAAACAAACCACGGTGTGATGAAGAAACAAACAGATCTTTATAAATTTACAAAATGTGTTCAAGCTTGCCTCTCTCCAGGAATTGTTTTAAACCAGAAACTACACAATTCCTTGAATCACAATATCTTTTGAACCTAACAGCATCAACTAAAAGATGTGCAGAAACATCAGACCAAACTCCAATAACTTGTAAGCGTTTAGTGATTGGATTTTTGAGTAATGGGAATGCCTCCTTGAATTCACTCAAAACTTCAAACTTCATACCAGAATGAGCACAGAGCAATACTTCACCCAGACTTAATCCACTGATTGGTTCAGGAATGTGATCAGCTACTCTTTCTGGGACCTCTACCCCCAATGAGTCAGCATGTTTGGCCAGAGTTTTGATACGTGCATTGAAGAGGTCTGAGATTCTGAAATTCTTCTTGGTCATATAATACCGAGTAGGTTCAGAAACCCAATAGAAATTTGGTTTATTATACTCACTACCACTAGGTGAGAGGACCCGCCCATTCATAGCATCAATCAGTTTAGTTACTCTATGTTGAATATCCTCTGAATCCAGCTTTGTCAAATAATCTATTTTCCCCAAGTCAAGACTCTGATCTATAGAAATGAGTATAGGAATATCAAGACCTTGTGCAACATCTCCACTTCCAAAAACCTCCTTCAAGAAATTTGAATGATACTGGGACATCAGATCTAGTGTCATCACCCGCCTGGACAATACATCACCAAAGATTCCCATAGTTTTTTGGATGACTTCTGGACTTTGATTTTCAAGCAATTTGGCTTGCTTACAATATCTTTGATAATCTTCCACAGAAGAGCCCTCAAATGTCGGAAACTCTTCATCAGCTCTGAGTGATTTGGCAAACTGTTGAGAAATTTCTGGTAGATCATTTTTTACACAATTCCATTGCCATACAATAAGTTTCTCTTGACATTGTTCTCCAAGTAACACTATTCTTCTGGTTCCCTCACGCCAATTCCTAAAGCTCTTTACAAATTCTTGGGTATATTCCCCCCAGGTCTCTGTTCCTTTACTGAAGCCAAATGTATATAGGTATTCAAGCTCTACATCACTGACTGAAAGTGGTAGGTAGATTGACTTGTCATGGAATTTCAAGCACTTCTTAAGAAATGAAGGCACATCCAATTTGAAGAGTTCTTCCTTGGTGAGTGATAATCTTTTGTCAGAGCTTGGTACTTGACTATCGATTGCAGCATGTGCCACTGCATCAAATGATGAGATTGAAGGCTTGAATAATTTTTCAACAGAATTGTTCTTTCCTTTCTTGGTCTTGTTGTTCTTCTTTCCTTTCTTATTTTGGACAGTTTTCTTTTTTCTCTGGCCATCTTTTGCACTCATCATATTGTCATCCTTTGGGTCATCTTCTCTGTTTTCTTCCAAATCTACCTCTGAGCCACTATTGTTCCCTCCCTGGGAATCTTTAGGCAGAGTTTGCCCAGTACTCAAGTCTCCTTCAACATTGACCAACTTCCCTTGACCATCCTGTGAAAGGATTTGATATTCATCACTTTTCCCTGAATCAACCACTGGATCATCTGCCTTGGAATTTTTGAATATTGTTGCCTCTTCATTGTCATGTATCTTATTTGATGGGCTTTGGCACTTGTTGTTTTGCTCCGCAATTGTAACACTGCCTTTACTTGGATCAAGAGCATCATATAGATTCAGAGCATCAAATGGATTCTTGTTACTGATCACCTTGCTGTGTGTATTTGTATTCTCTGGTATCAACTTCTCTCCCTGTACATCCAGAAGGGCTTCTTTTGCATTGTTCTTTTTGGTCTGAATTTGCTTTGAATTTTCTTGGGTTACCAGTCTCCTTTTTTCATTGAAAGATGAACCTCCAAGCCTTTTTACTCTCCTCTTATCTGAGTTGATGACCTGTGTATCAGAATTCCCTGTGTTATCTATTTTTGATTTAATCCCAGAGCTGGGAGCTCCTTCAACTTTTGAATCTTTTTTTGGCTCTCTCACCTGGACTTTTGGTCCACTGATATTTTGTTCTGAAGAGCCTTTTTCTGCCATCTGTAGAGAATGGGGCGCCTTCTGATTGAGCTTTTGATCATAAATGGGTTCAATATTTTTTCCTACCACATCAATCTTAGAATATGCATCATTAATTGAATTGACTAAAGCTCTTGAGCCTCTCTGTGCTTCTGGTATTTCCTTCCCCATTGTGAGAAACAAACCAGATGGCACACCTTCTTTGAGATTATCCTTCTCTATAAGATGAACTAACAGAACAAGCAAAGGCAATTAAATTCATCTACCCAATCAGATTATTGGCCTTGAAGCTCACCATTGGCTTCTTCCAAGCTCTGGGATGCACCTACTGAGTCAATAGGCTGAGCTTCTGAATATTTAGTCAAATCACTGTACTGAGATGGCTTCATCTTTACAATTTCCTTCAATGATTCACCAGCTGTTCTGTCTTGCTGATAAGATAGCAGAATCTCAGATGCTTGAATGTAATGATTATCATCAATTGATGGTTCAACTGGCTTCCATAGACTGAAAATACAGAAAATCAGGTCAATTGCAAGAGGTAATCCACATGTGTTATGATACTTTGTTCCAGATTATACATACCTGTGATCCTGGTGCTCAATAGTATCTTTGATCTTGTGATCCTCAAAGGACCCATGCTCTTTGTTGGCATTTGGTGTCTTCATATCATGTGCAAAGAAAGTGAAACTTGGTGCCATTTTCTCCCCTGCCCACTCATCATCCTGAATATCTTTTTCTGGGCTGAATGGGAATATACCATCCAAGATTCCAGCACTTTTCCATAAATGATAATTTTTCTTTTGACTGAATTTGTTTTCCAAACATGAACTTGAGAGACTATCAAAAGCAAAATTCAGTGAAGCATTGAATGATAGAAGAAGAACCAAATAGCACAGAATGTTCATCT